TTCCTGATTGGAGCCTCTTCTGACTGGCTTGCCAGGACAATTCTCCACCTCTGACAATAGTTGGAGCAATTCCAACTATTTGGATGGCATTTGCTTGAATTGGCTCATCCAAGATTCCTTTTACCGGAGCCTTCACCTATCTTCGAGTCGCTGCTCCTGGTGCCACAAATTCTTGAGCTTTCTAGCTCTTATCAACTCCTTGACCAGGCTCTAGAGTTGTCTACATTACTTCGTGTCCATTTTCCCTATGGTAGGCACAATACTTTTGTGTCATGGAGAAAAGCTCTGGCTCTCATCGGTGGTGCATACTTAAAGTATGCCTTATTTGGAATGACCCCTCTAGCTCCGCCATCGAGACTCCTCAACAAAGTGGCCTTTGGTGCTTCATGACCATTGGACGGTCGCTCATGGTAACGAGCCAGATGTTGGCCAGGATACCTTCACTTGACTTCCTCGGTTGTGGTTCCTATCGCCCTCAAACCCCCACAACAGCCCCCCCCCCACGCTGTCCCGGGGCTGCCAATTTCTTCATATTGTCATCGAGCGAAAGGATGCGTGCATTCCCTTAATCTCCACCTTTCATCCCTAGGGCCCTCTTTTGTAGATGACGGCTGGCTGATTCTGCCCAGGCAGACGCAAGGGTGAAGTTGCATTCTTCAGTTGAAATGTGATTGTTGGCCAACTCCAAAAATTCAACTAAGGTCTTCGGTCGCTGGAAATCTAGAGCAAAACGGAAGGGTCCCTCCTTTATGGCCTCTAAGCTAGAGCGTGACTGCAGGTTCCAGATTCCGCACTTCCAGTATCTTCTTCTGGAAGCGAGTGATAAACGAGCAGAGGCTCTGGTGTGTTCCCAGCCTAATCTCTAGCAATTCCTGCAAACTTTTCTGCGGCTTTTGGGCGTTGGCGAATTGTGCCACAAACATTCTCTTGAAGTCAAAGAAGGAAGTGATAACTCCGGCTGATAGTCCATTGAATCACCTGAGGGCCAACTCCGTCACCGTGGTGAAGAACAGGCTATACTTCAGAGCGCCGTCAGTCCTCACTAGACAGATAGTCAACTCAAAAGAGGCAATATGGTTTGTCAAATCAGTCCTCGGATCAGTCCAATCCTTGTAGGACTCAAACAATGGGATTTTGAATTTTCTTAGGGCTTAACATCAGAAATTTTCTGAGAGAACGCATTCTCTGGCTGACGAGGCACCTCAGTACGATCAAATCATTGTCTATCCAACAACCCAGACCCAACACTATCTTGGTTTTGAGAATCCCCTACTCTTTCTTCGGCTTGAGTTGCTCTTCGGTCGTGGGTGCCGACGCTTCTTCTTAAGTGGTCTCCTCCCTATCTTGAGCTACGACTTCTTGAATGGATTCTAGCTCTGACCCATCATTTGGTGCTTCAGCTCTTGTATTTGATGTTGCAAAAACTCTCTAGTGCACTTTATGTTTGTGATATCTCTGTGGTTGATTTTTTTTCCTTATTTTGCTCTCTTCTTGTTGCTAGCATAATTCACGCACGTCACACCTTTTAGGATGTTGAATTTGAATATGTATTGTGAATCAAACCCAACGAATAAATCATAAAATAGGAGAGCGAAAGAAAGAGAGAGAGAAAGAAAGTGCACAATAATGAACAATAGAATGAGGGAATTGTGTTTAATTGATTGATTAATATTTATTGTAGAAATGGTCCCCATATTTATAGGTGAGAGGTTTACAATGTGCATAATTACGTGCTTACCCATGCTTTAATGGGGGCATTACAGAGTATTTTGGGAATTTACATAAATAAGCCTATGGCTCGACTACCCTATCGCTCAGTCGGTTGAGATTTGTGGTTGTTAGGTCGATGAGGCTCGTTTGATCGACTATGCTGAGTTGGGGATTTCATGATCATCTCAAATTGATGTTCGGTCGTTCGGACTTTGATCGATCGGCTTGAGTCAACCAATGTGCTTCTTTGGCCCTGTTGTGCTCTTGTGGCCAGGTAGAGGGTGAATCACAATAATTCGACAGGTAGCTTGCCTCTTGACAAAAGGTCCATTTGTGGTGTTAACAAATAATATCGTTATAAAACCTTTGGCCTTCTAAAGGCTCTTGGAGACTCTTATGTGGCGGTTGATGATGCTGGGGTGAGAGTGGGGTTGATGTCTTCTCTCGACTCGATAAATCTTAATCTTTGGCTCGAACGACCTTTGACCTGCTTCAGGTCTCAACCCAAAGGATTTGTACTTGGTCAATCAGGCTTTTGATCTTCCGGTGATGAGACTTTTGTTCTTTCTTCTCTAGGTCACCCCGGGCATACTTTTCTTCCTCTTACTTTGTTAGATTTCTTTGAGATTCATGTTGACACGTTTCTAATGTACAATCTATTAATTTACATCCTTTCCAAAAATTCTCATAAAAAATTATTATATATATATATATATATCAATTAATCTTCTACTTACATTGTGTACCATTGTTCTAACTTGTTGATACATCCTACAGTGTGCATCATGCTTTCTTGCTAATCTGCATCTGTATCCGTGTGTTTTGCCTCTTGCTCATTTTGAAATTTGCCTATTTCATGGATCATTATTACTTACGCTGGTTAGCATGGACTTCCTTGGTTTTCATTGTTTTTGTTAACATGATTATCGAAAATAAATTCATGGCATTAATTGACCAGATATGAATCCATGACATTAATTGACCTGATATGAATCCATGGCATTAATTGCCCAGATATGGTGTAATTAACGCCGATTCCTTATGCTAATGTCTAGGCTTAATTTCTTCTCCTAATTTACTTTCTTTCCTATTCTAAATCTTGGAATACTTGTATAAATACCACCCTTTTTGTACAATGAAAGAAACCAAGAAATACAAAACTCTTTTCCATTATTAATTTTAATCCATGAGAATGAAAGCTTCTGGGATTGAAGACTCTCATTTCAATCTTTGTTCTCCATTTCCTTCATACATCACAAACTAGATCATATGTGACTTTTCCAATATGCAGCTACCAGTTCACATCTTCCGTTGGTTCAAACAATTGATAGCTACCAAAAATTTAAAAGCCTCGTCTGTTTTGAATGGAACACTTCAGAAAAACCGAACAGGTCTATAACCTTGAAAGATAAAACATGACCCGTAATTTCTTTGTTCTAACATATGCCATTAGAGCTTCTCTTAGCAACTTGGAAGAAATTGCATGATTTTGGGTTCTTATATTTGTTCTATTGGTAACTACTTATTCCTTATATTATTCCTTTTGTGCGAAATGGCTTGTCTAATCTACTATTCATTTGGATTATTGAGGTGGAATGACCTGCTCTGGAATCTCTTTGGATTGCAAAGCTCTGGAAGCAATTCTGTTCTTGACGTGACAAACCTGTCTCCCCATATAAGGGAGACTTTGGCCCCACGATTGGTGTGAAAGTTATGCGATGCCTTTAATGTTATTTAAAGGATGAGCAGAGTGCTCTGATGGTGGGCATATGACTTAATTTCTCAATATTCAGATGCATAAGGCCATGCTGATATGAGTTACTGTATTGTGTTGTAGTATAATTGCATTGCTTCTTCCCAAATCTGGAATTGTATTTGAAGGTTTTTTAAATTTTTGCAAGGTTAAAATGGTCCAGCAATAATTGACATATAGAGAAAGCAGAGCTGCTGCTTGCCTCTACATGGCTTGGGGGGCAAAAACAGTATGGAAGGTTTGACCTTTTGAAATTACTGCATCACTTGCTTTGTGTGTTTAACATAATTGTTAATATGTACTTTTTACCTTTCATTCGTGAAATTTTTAACATTTTACGTTATCTTTTTTGCTCTAGTCGTGAAATTGCTTGAAATATTGCCTGAAGTCCTGTTTGATGCTGATTAATTCAAAGGTAAAAATGATTTAAGCATGTGAGTGTTAGAACATTTTGGATGAAGCCTTCGAAAAAATGAAGTCAGAAATGATAATGGTTTTCAGTTCATTTTGGATTCGTCAGAATAGGATTTATGGAATTTCTGTAAATTTGAGGTAGTTGTTATGTGGGAAATTTTGGATTGTGTTGCAATAATTTCGGATTACAGTAGTTTCAATGAAATGTATTTTTCATGTTATGACGATTTAAAACTCCAAAAAACATCTTAATTTTGGGTTTTTTTTTTTTTTTTTGGGTAAGCATGCACTCAAATCATAATTATGTTAAAAAAAAATCGAAGGATAGCATTCAAGTGGGATATTTTATGTTTTTTTAGTGCTAAGAAAACTTATAAGAATTTTTTTAGCGAGGTTTGATTGAAGAAATTATTTCCGTATCAGTCATCCACCAACTATGCTTGCCCATGCAGGGTTGCAAAAAGATTATAATCTTGTTCTCCAAATCGTACATAAATGGATTGTATGGAAAACATATTTTGTAAATATTGATTAATCTTCATTTTGCTGGTTTGTTAGAGCGGCAGCATATGATTTTTGTATGATTACGGCAACAATTTCCCAATCTTATTCTTTTAGCTTCTCCATCAAAATCACCAACCTTGCAATTATTTTTTTATCATGCAGAGGCATAAATGACTAGCATTATAAAAGCTATGAAGTTCCTATGATTTAAGTAAGAAGAATAGAATAAGTACTGCCGGTATGATTACTCCACCGAAGTGAATCTTTACCACTGGCATAATCAAGGTTAATGCGGCAGGCGTAGCAGAGAAACTACAGCAGGATTTATTTACATCAATACTAACTCAAGGCAGGTGAGCCTTCGAGAGATTTTAATGTGCATTTTAGATGCAAGATGAATTAGCAAATCCAGCCATGAACATGAGAAAACCAGTAAATAAGAATGGCAGAATACATATTAGTAATTTTCAGAAATATAATTAAATTGCAGATGTTGTAAACTCAGTTACTACCTATTACAGGTAATCAAATGAAATTATATAGATATGATTCTTTTTTCACTTTCTTAAATTTAAAAGAGTAACCATTACAAAGCCATGACATGATTACAAAACTGGCACTGCTTAATTATTAATACACGTTCAATGCATATTTACACTAGTTTATTTGAAACATTACAAAGAGTAGACCATACATAGCTAAAAACCTGTAAAGTTTCCTAAGTATTTCAGAGCATACCTCTATAAACATACTAAGCACATGTCACAGGTACACGTAGAAGCTGTGCAACATGTGCATAAGAAAATTTTTAGAGTTCTAAATGACAAGGATGTGCCCTTGACTTGTATAACATTCACTGAACATTTAATACTCATTTGGTTGCTTGAAGCAAGGAAACCCGACCTGACAAATGAGCTTCAACGTTAGATCCATCATTTAATATTACGTAGTGAAAAATCAATATTGATTTTGACTACAATTATAATGATTTTATTTTCATACAAAAAAAGAAATGAAAACAAAATCATTGCTTCCTAAAAGTTATTTCAGACTACAGGCAACCAAATGAGTCCTCCCTCAAAGAAACTACACTACCACTCGCCAGCAGTCATATCCTGAAACACAGCATAGGGACAAAACAACTCATTAAGTTATAGCACACATTTCAGATTGCTAGAACTCGTAGATCTTAGCAATTTGCTTTTGTGGGCTTAAAAGTTTTCCAGAAGTAGATTTGCGAGGAAAATTCGTGGTTGGATGAGCTGGTTTAAAATTTTCATCATCAATCTTCTGTACGGGTTTCAGTACGTGCTTTGCTCCTGAAACCAATTCTGTCGCTCCTACTGTGGATTCCTTGTCCAATCTTGAAAAACTAGAGCCCTCTGCCTTTGATAATTCATCGACCTCATGTACGGCTTTCTGAAATTCTAAAGCAGTTGCATAATCGAGGAGTTTGTGATCTCGGCTCAGGTCTGTACCCTGTGGCTCTACTGGAATGCCGTAGTCTGTTTGCTTTTCAAAATGTGGTATCTTAGACGAATTCATGAGCAAATCATCCCCTCTGGCTGACCTCTTTTGAAATTTATGAGCATCAACCGGACTGCTGAAGCCCGTGAAGTTTGAGTATGATCCTTCTTTTTCCTTATTTTTGGTGCCATTACTCATTGTGACTTCAGAAACTGAATTATTCGCAGTGACAACTGAAATAAATGAAGATTGGCTGGAATTTGGAGCAAAGGTAATGGTTTTTGCAGGAGAAATGTTACCAAGCGGCAACGGGTCCATAGGCATATTATATGGAGATAGTTGAGGAATTAGATTTGTCCCAGAAAATCTACTTGGTTGGCTTTGTTCAATTGGATCAGAATAAGGGGATTGGTTCCATTTTTTATGCTTTGCATGAAGCAACCATGGAGGCAGTATTTCTGGAGGCTGTGTGTGTACTGGTTGAAAGTGATTTTCATGAAAATTATATCGAATCTGTGATTGTGCAAATTGTGGTGTTACAAATGTACGACTTGAAACACCCCGACTATGATTGCAGTGGGTAGAATTCAAAAGTATGTTCTGCTGACTGTTTTGTTGATAAGATGCTTTAGTAGGATAGTATTGATGCCGTGTAGGTTCTTCTCCTGAAATTATATTTCCTATGAACTTGTCTGTCTTGTTTAAGAAGGCATTGTGTGTCACTTCCTGACTATCAGCAACTACTTTGAATGTATTGTTCTTTGTTGTTGAGAATCTTGACAAATTTTTGCACCCATCATCATCAATATGCAAGTCAAATTGAGTTTCCACATGTGCTGTTGCATGATTAAAATTTGATGGAGAATCGTACAGCTTATGTAGGCAATTATTTGAGCTCCAACATTTCTTTGCAACAAATTCTGGCAGCGTCCGTTGCTTTGAAATGTACTTTTCAGGCATGGAAGAGTGACAATCTCCATTACTAGCACCAACAACTACATTTTGCCCCATCAAGCGAATTGTTGGCTTCACTGCAGGTTCTAATTGACAAGCTAAATTATATTTTACTGGCAGTTCTATCTTCTTCAAGATATCAAGTGTGGCATCGTCAGTTTTTTCAGCATGAAAAGAAGGCTTTGCTTTGTTTGCTTGGGAATGGAGGAATTCATAATTGTAATTAGAACAAGCGTTGTTTTGAATATTGAGCCGTTTGGGTCCAAAAAATTCAGTAAGTGTTCTCTCACTGTTCGGATAGCATTGGTTCTGGCACCAAACCAACTGATCCGTCTGATATGATGCAGCATCGGGAAGATTCTCTTTCATTATTTGTAAATGATCCACATTTATATCAGGCTCAACTTTTTTATTGGCATAGAAGCCATGACTGTTGGCCAAATCCATGTTTTGCTTCGTATAATGCCCAACAAACGTTGTTCCTGGATGTATTTGGATAAGTTCTCCGTGTTTATTATAAGAAAGACTAATTAAATCCTCTCCTGTGCTCTTACTTTTGCTGGTAGACACTGCATTGGACAAGAATGCTGATCCCATAAACTCGTTGCATCCTATAGAATGGCAAATGTTATTGCTCAGCAAATCATTTGGAGAGCAATAGTGCCCAGATTGATTCTTTGGAATATGACAACAACATTTCATGTCAACGTCACAATATTGCCAACACGGCTTCTTATCATTACAAGCTATTAGACAAGGTGTTGGACTATGTGGTCTATAATTCTTCATGGAAGTGAGTATATCTGCTGCATTAGAAGACGAGACAAAGTTTCGCTCAGTAGGTTTAATACTTACAGGAGATATCTTTGGCAGTCCTCGTTGTAGATGAAATTCAGCGAAAGTGCTTGATCCTTTTTTGTGAATTGTTTCCAGATCACCTGAATTGGTGCAGTTGGGTGACAAATTTTGTGTGGAAGAATTAAATTGATCTGAGTCATTACAGGTTTCCATGTTATGGTTTAGATCAATCACTACAGCCAAGGATGCCTTCTCTGTTCTCGAAAAGCTGCTATTGCCAGAGTTTAGTAATTTTTGATGATTAACATTACTAAGTGAATCACTTGACTCATTCTTTTGACATGAAGGTTCATCTGTCCTATAGACAACTTCTGCATTGGTATCTTCCACACTTGAATTCGCCACCTGTTTACCTCCATTAGCTGCTGTGAGTTCATGAACTTTGCTTGAATTTTTCATAACTGATGATTTAGTCAAAACATCTGAGAAAATTTTGCAAAGACTTTTAAATTGCGGCAAGTCAATGTTTGAACAGTTCATGCCATGTCCAAGTATGGCATCCTTTCCAGAAAAGGTTACATTTCTTGTGGTTTTACAACGTTTGACAACCTTGACTGTATTTGAATCATTTATTTTTCTTGTTTCTCTCGCTGAAGAAAGTCTATTTTTGCTTTTGAGAATGCTACGTACAGGAAGTTTCTTTGCTACCTTGTGCGTACTGGATGTCGGGTTTGGTGTTTGCAGGATGTTGTCTTTCTTTTGCAAGATTTTCACTTTCACAGACTTCTTGCTTTCGGGAACGCAATCAGTTGTCTTTCCATGAGCTTTCTTATTAGTTGAGTGTTGAAGCAAGTGGCGGTGACCAGCAGGTATCTTCTTACTTTTGGAAACCTTCTCCTGATGTAGAATGTCATTTCATATTTAACTAAATGAATGAATGAACTATCACACTTTTTGCACTTCTATACAATAACAAAAACAACAGATTTAAATACAATAAATAAAGGTGATATACGGCATAATGGCATTATTATTGGATTAAAATTTATTTACGGATGACACTAAAATATAAGAGTATAGTTGAGCCTAAGCAACGAAAGAGTGAAAAAGTGATCTAGAGAAAGAAACTCTAAAAATCTTATTAGAATTTTTAAAAAATGTGTTGGACTTACAGCATTTTTCATAGGTTTTTTATGAATTTTACATAGTTGGACACCCTATTTATAGATTTTGATCAAGTTCATCACTAACATATATCTGAAGCCTTGAAAATGCTTTATTCTGAAGTGGATAAACCTGGATTTTTGAAAGCTGTTCAAATATTTGGTGACATATCTAGTGCCTTACATTGATGCCGACTTGAAAGAATGAATTCCCTTGATGAGCCCTCTTCGGCTTGTAAGTTAGGAACATTGTTGAGTTGACTGTCTTTTGGCAACTTCAAATATTCAAGGGCGTAGAGCATGTAATCGGTGATTTGACGAGATGTATGTTTCGGCCACTTGAAGCTTTGATTAGTTATTCAGGCATGATAACTTGTTAAGCTCAGTTTGTGCTTGCATTATAATTTGATTAATTTGACCAAAGCAGTTGCAGCTGTGCATTAGTTTTCTGATAGTCTTGTCTTTATATAAGAACCAAAAAAAAATATCGGAATTGAGACTAAATTCTTCCAAACTTAATTTAAATTTTGCAAGCTCTTTCGTTGGTCAAGCATCTACTCTTAAGTACCATAATAATTCATTTGGAAATCATATTAAATACCTTTGCTCTTTATCTCCTGAAATATTACATTCAATGTATTCTTCTCAACTCTATTCTCAGAAGGCTAGCAATTCTAAAATGTTAAACCTCGCCTTTTTTAGTAACCTAATATATCCTTTATCAATTGTCAATCAATATTTAAAATATGATTTTTTTTATTAATATGAAAAAATATATATTTTATTACTTGGCCCAGTCTATGGTCACTTACCTTAATTCTTAAAAAATGATTGAATTTATCTTCTCCTCAAAATATCTAAACATTGATCTTAGTATTTAATAGGTTTTCCATTACTCTCACGGACTTTCACCCTCCAATTTTTGACGTCTCACTTTCCATGTTACTTTTTCTTCTACTGTACAGAGACATCAAGCAAGCATCTCAAAGGTTGTGAAACATATCTACTAGTAAGAATAGATGCTCGAATAATAACCTAAAAAGAAGTTTGTGAAATGAAGAAGTTCCAAATTTTGAGGAAGATAATGATGATGGTGACGATGGTGATGATGATGATGACTCCTATAAGTTTTGATGTAATTATCTCTTTTTGTAATGCCTCTGGTTTAAGTTATTGTCTTAGTTTGTTGTTTTGAGCTAATTTTACCCCCTATATTAATAAGACAAAAAAAGATAAAAAAAGGAATGTTGTAGTTTCGAGGGTGTGCGAGTAAAAGGGGGTTATCCTCATATCAATGACAAAATAATTTGTCTATCACTTTAATTAATTTTTATACATGAATAAATGATTGCCCATCACCTTTATTATTAACATTGCCTCTTTTTTTTTTTTACTTTTCATGAATTTAATATGTCTAATAAGTAATTTATTTATTTATTTAATAATTTATCTGTAAAAATGCTTATATTAAGGGCGAGGATTTGCTATCTAAACTTCTAGTTATGTAATATTTCTTAATGTATGTTTTTTATCATCAAAATTAGGGAGATTGTTGACATCAAAAGTCAATATATTTATGAGATTTTCTTGATCACAAATTACATTGATGAATTAAGTACTAATAATTTCTCAATTCAAGTGTTTGCAAAAACAGATATGCCGTCGGAATTATCCACACATATGAAGATTGGTATTTAGAATTAAAATATGTATTTTATCTTGTATGCATAAGATCTATGGAACATAAAAAATTAAAGGCTTGTAAGGCAAGCAAGCAAGATTAAAAATACTTTTGCTGAAAAATACATCTTGGTTCTTTCACTTATTGCAGAAGTAATGATTTTATTTAGTATAGATTGTGCAAAAAATTTTAAATGGAGTTGGCGCCTAAACAAAGGCGTCGACTACAACAACTTAATATAAAAATTATTGCTTGTTGTCTTGATTATGTATATTTATAACTTTTACTTGCTATTACGCTATAGTTTTTATTTATTTTGCAATATCAAATTGTGATATTTAAGTTTTTTTTATTAATTCTCAAAACCCAATTCACACCCCGTACAAAAAATTAATGCTGCATTAAGATCATACAGATCATACAGCAATAAGGCAATGCATGAACAATTATTAAAGACAATGATACCAACAATGAATCAACAATAGATCCTAACGAGTTTTAGCACATATAAATATTTTGTATTTAGAATATTGTTGTGTATGTCATTAGTCTTAATTTTTGATAGTACGAGTATGTGCATCAATTGTGAGAGTTAAGTGAACATAAGTACTAGTTAAAATGTATCAAAATTGTATAAAATTATGTATTAATTACAGTAATTATGTTTTTTATTTACAGGAAATCAATGAGGTGAAAACTACAAAAGGGAAAAAGAGAAGAAGAACAATAAAGTGTAGCGTCGTAACACTGGATGGTGCTATTTAAGAAAAAAATCGAGAACTTGGTACCACATCTCTAATTTGGGAGCATCGTAATGCCAAAAGACTAGCTCCGCAACGCTAAAAGACTAGTGCCGCAATGTTAGACCTACATTGTTTCAATGCTAGTGACGGCTACATTGAAGGAGAAAATTGAGAGCTTGCCAATGCAGTGTCATTTTTCAGCACCTTAGTGTTGTATGTCAAACACCAGAGAACTTGGCAATTAGCACTGCAGCGACAGCTCGAGCAGAAAAGACATACAAAAAAAGAAAGTTGCATCATGACGCTATGTTTGGAGCACCGTTGCGCTACCTGATCACTGCCGTAAAGGCAATTTATAATACTTCAATGTGATGGCTCGACAGGAAAGTTTCAAGCTAGTTTTGGAGCATGATTGGCAGCTGGGGACAGTTTTGAGCATTTTGGGTTGTGCGGTGGTGTAATAAAGTGCAAGGAATGGGGAGAGAAGTAATAGACTGTGGAGTAAGAGTGACAATGCGTATGTATAAGTGTGATAGTTCGTTTGTAGAGTGAAGAATAAGGAGAAATTTTTGGAGAAAGGCTCAAGAGTGGAGTAAAGAGCATATGTAGTTAGTGAAATCCTGATAGATTCCTTTTAGCTCGTGTGTTTTACTTCAATTTGATAAAACAAAAGTTTTTCATTATTTCGATTAATATGTTTTGTAGCTAAATACTCATATTTTTCGGCTTATGAATTTTCTTACCTAATATTCTGCATAATATGAAGTGATAGAATTGATTTGATAAGTATTTTTCATTTTTCTTCATTTTCATTGACTAATTGTAGTTGCAAGGCAGTTATTTTAAATTTCTTATGATCTGTTGATATCGACAGAGGCATACAAGAATGATAAGATAATTTTGAAAATCATTTGAAACTTGGCAGTCGATTATGAAAATCTGTAAATGCAATCATTTAACTTAATCTCTATAAGCATATAGTGAACTAAGTTTAAGGATTAGATTTTCTAAATTCTCAATGGAGACTAGAAATAGAATTTGTTCTCGATTGACAATGGTGCTTCGTAGTAGCTCATGTTAATGCCAAAAAAAAAAAAAAAAAAGGTAAGCCATAAATCCAAACTATATCTCTTCACTTATTAAACCACCATGTTTATAGGAAATAATTTATAATTAATTTATACTGAGTTTATTGAATAAAGATCTGAGTTAAGTGGTATTACTAATTAACTTATTCACGTAAATTCCTTGTGATCCTTGAGAGAATAATATTTTACTCATTTGTATTACTTAGAATGACATCTATATTTGTGCATAGTGTTATAGGTGATTAAGTTTTTAGCAATGTTGCTAAGAATCATTCGAGTGAATTAATATACTATTAATTCAACATTTTGTTTGTGATATCTTATTTTTAAACTTGTATTGTAATATGAATGTTCTTGTTTATTAGAATTTTGTTGATTTAAATCATTCTCTACATTATTAAAAATTTTGGGCCTAACACAACAACGCTAACTTGATAAGCACTACAACGCTACTTGATCAATAATGCAACATTATACCTATGATTATTTTTTGTTGTTTAAACTGTTGTGATGTTGCTACTTCTGTTTTTATTATCTAGTTAGCTCTTATGCATTCATTAACTCTGATTAATGTATTTAATTTGTAGCATAAAAAATATAGAGTTAGTGTTGTCTGGTCTTAAAATTAAAAGAACTCGTAAGAAATACAAAAAATTTAAAAAGACTCAAAATAAACTACAAAGCATTGAAAATCCACAAAAATAAGTATAATAGCTTAAACCTTTAAGGGTCCATGCCACACCTTTAGAAGATGGACTAAACCAAAACTAAAACTCATGTAATGTACAATCCAATAATTTTGCACTTAAACACGAAATTATTCAAATGGTCCAAAACTCATAGTTTGAGGTTTTCACTATAGAAGACCATAATCTTCACAGAGTTAATTTCTTAGAAATATAAACAACTTTCAAGTGCAATGGATTTTTTTGTGAGATCATCAAAAGTAGGTTGTTTTTATTTTTCTTTATAGACAAAGCTAAAATTAGTAAAATTCCTTACCTTAACTTAGGTTTTTAATCATGGGTTCATATTTCAAAATGCGTGGATGGAACATCTGTCTTTCATGGAAACAGTGTCTCTTGACATGAATTGCCCTCTTGACACCAATAATATCAAGGTTATGAATAGGATTTAGCATAAGTTTAAAAGCTTAAGCGAATTCTTTCTTAGTGTAACAAAAACAAAATTGAGAACCATTTTTTTAACTTTAAAGAAGTTA